TGTGAGCCTTGAGCAGTTATTGGGAAGGCCATCTCAGATCAGCGTGTTCCTGTTGTGCATTACCAACCTGTGGCTTCACAAGGGAGATTGGCACTTGGACTTGCCTCAGACTGACTGAAGAAACTGTCTTTCCTGAGAGGCTGTAGTTAACTGCCCCATCCCCACGTTGCCCACCAGGAAGTTGAGAATGATGTACACACTTCTTGACTGGAGACCTACAGAGGCCTCACCAGAAGAGCCCAGAGTGGGTTACCAGTCATGACTGTTCACACTGGCATCCTGGCTGCTGGCTGCAGAAACCTCACTCCTTGAGCGATTATGCACGTGTACCTGTTTCCTGCAGGGTTTTACACACACACACACACACACGCACACACAGACCCATCTCCCTTGCTCCCTTTCTCACTTCTGAGTTACATTTTTCCTCACCACTGAAGAAGATTAAATCATGGATACCTGGTGATCTGTGCAGTTCTCACTGCTACAGCTAGCAGCATAAAGAGGCACAGCGCCTTTGTAAACACATACTCAACATAGAATAAAAATGAAAGCTGCCCAATTAGAGCTCTGCACATTTCAGACTGAAGTCAGCAGCACCTCAGTTTCAGGGCACACACCCCACAGACCGGAACTATGCTGCTCACATCTCACTTCTGCAATTTGTGGTGTTTCCAATATTAGGATATTAAATTATACGGAGATTGTATTCCAGTCCTCTAATTGAATCCAAATGAATTCAATGTCAAAGCAGCTTAAAAACTAACTTTTGTCTCTTTATGACTTAATACCAAGAAGAAATAAATATACGGCGGCAGCCACACATAAGGTCCTCACAAAGGCAGGGGTGGCCTTTTCCAGGAAGCCTTTCTCTGCCAGTAATTTTAGAGAGCAGTTCATGACTCAGGATCAGCCTAGCCATAATTCCCAATGAAGGAACCCCAGGAGCACGTCAGCACAGCTGACTGAAGAGCAGGCAGAATGGAGCTTCTGCCTCCTTCCTGGAAACCCCACTACTACCCATCCCACAGCAGGGAAACCATGGCATATCAATGTAGTCCTTTCTACTACTGAATATGGAGCAATGCTTCTCTGTTAGAAGCTGTTCAGGAGCGGAGGAACAAAACTTCTGACAAGGCTCCTCGGCCTATGAGCGTGAAGATGGTGAGTTCAACTCTTGGACTCAGTTTGCACACTGCAGAGCTCAAGTGGTAGCAAGAGCAGGTGGGCCTGTCCTCCCCCAACCCCCACCCACCCACCAGAGGGCAGGAGGGGCTGAGCAGTGAACTCCTTAACACGTTCCTGCCTCTCTCCAGTCCTATCCACTGGGTGGATGCTAGCATTCATCTCAACTACAAAGGTCAGCAATATGCCCAAAGGCCCCAAAGAAAACTGAACCTCAGTCTGCAAGTATCTAAAATGTTGGGTTTTTTTTTTAACTTCTTAACCTGTTTGGACCTCTCTTTTCTCACTTGGACCAAGGAAATGACGTGAGGCCCTGGGACCACTGGGAGGAAGCACCAGGATAAAAAACAAAAGGGACCTCTCAATATGCCTCTCTTGCACCCACCCACCTCCTTAATGAGGCCCTGCAAAGACAGCAAATACAGATTCAAAATGCCCAGGCTTGGCATAGAATCAGAGAGACCCAGAATCTCCAACTGCTCAAGCTCACTAAGCTTCCTACAGATCTAGTTCTGAACCACAGATGCTCCTCCATTGCCTACTCAGTATCTTGTCCTTCCGGTTCAGTGGTCACCCTGCCAACCAGGAGACCCCAGAGCTTCTGAGAGCATCACCAGACTCCAGGGAGGAATGGCTGAGTCTTGATGCTGTTAGGCAGACTTCCTCTCCTTCCAGGTCCTTCCTTTGCAAGCATCACATTGCCAGTGCTTGATCTCTTACTTCGGACCACAAAGTGTTGGTTCCCTGTTGTCACAAGGAGATCTCAGTTTCTCACTGACAATTATTTCTAGTCCTCTTTAGATATCCCTGTTACTCTAAGAATTTTCGTTTGGTCATTATGTCTTAAGACACTGTTAGCAAATGTGAACCCTAAGAGTGTTGGGGGATAACAATGGGGCACAAAAACATGTTGCAGATGACTGAGGCCCAGTATATTCTATTCTGAAAGTCCCATGAGTCCCTTGACTGTTCAGGGCTCCTGCTCCCGTCTCTGTGAGTGCTGAGGAACATAGCTTAAAACAGCAGCACAGATGAGTCTGTATAGCTAACTACTGCTCCTGCAAGCCCTTCTCAAAATGACCAGGCACCCCTGCCCCAAACAGTACTGCTGACAATGATAAGTTAGCCATAATGAGTCAGATTTCATTAACACTTAACATACACAAAAAAATCATGTGTTCTGGAGAGTTGAACTTCACAAGCTCAGACGACACAAGCCTTTAGGTTTCAAGGAAACAGTGTCTACAGACTCAGGTCTGTGCAATCAAGATGATTTCGTTCTCTGTGGATAGTAAAGAATCCTCAGGTGCCTAGCCTAGCCCAACGCACCTGTGAGACACACATTTCACACCCTGGTGTGAACCACACAGCTCACACTGTGGTGTGACAGCATCTCTATCCCTACTGCACTTGACAGGTCCATCTGGCCACCACTGCCCCAGTCACTTCCCGTTGATATGCTGTCCCCCAACTAAAAGATAAGTTGTGATCACTCTTAAGTTCTTATCTACAATTATAAGGAAGGCAGAGACACCCCCTTGCTAAGAACTCCCTATTCCACTGGAGTTAAGGGCAGTGCACACCTATCCTCATACTTACATATTATTTTACAAATACAAAAGCATAAAACTCTTTCTGTTGTTGTTGTTGTTGTTGCTTGATATTCACGCTGTTCTGTTATATGGATAGAAGTTAAGTTCATTCCTACATGCTAGTAAGCTGCTGTGAATGCCACCAGCACAAACTCATGGTTTCATTTCTCTTGGGTCTTTATTTATTGTGAGGTTTCTGGATTGTGGTAACTAATGTCTGACATTGTTGAGGACTTGCCAAAGTGTTTGACACCAGCACTACTGACTTCTCATGTCTTGACAGACTTGTGAATCTGTTGCTCTGTCTTTTTATCATTGGCATCCTACCGCGTGTGACATTCCTTAGTTTCAATTTTGTATTGTTGTTGTTGTTGTTATTTTGGTTTTGTTTTTCGAGACAGTGTGACTCTGTGTAGCCCTGGCTGTCCTGGAACTCACTCTGTAGACCAGGCTGGACTCAAACTCAATCCTCCTGCCTCTGCCTCCCAAGTGCTGGGATTAAAGGCGTGTACCACCTGGCTCCAGAGAAGCTTGACGTGCCAGGGTGGGAGGATACCCAGGAGGGGACGCTGCCCTCTTGGAGGAGAAGGGGAGAGAGAATGGGGGATGGGAGGAGGGGTTGTGGGAGGGGGGTAACTGGAGGTGGGGCAGCGATCAGGATGTAAAGTGAATATAAATAAATTAGGAAATAAATAAGTAAATAAATAAATAAAGATGTGCACCAGCTTAACAATTAGGAGTTACCAAAGTGACTTACCAGGACTCAGCCATCAGTACCAAAGTGACTT